GGGGAGCTGCCCATTGCCCGGGGCAGGCCTGAATCAGCTGGAACTCAGCAGGATGGAGCTGCCCAGGCTTTGGCATCAAACCCTCATTAGGAAAGACCCCGTACCCGGCTAGGCGGCTGGGGAAAGGGGCAGCAGGAAAAATCCAGTTTGAACTGGCAAGGCAGCTGCCAGCCTGAGAAACCCCTGAAGAAAGAACTTCCTCAAGTCGGTGGCTGCTAGGCCCATGGCAGTGCCAGCTGATCAGAGGGGGGCTTCCTGAGTCTGGTTCTCATCAGTCCCGGGCGCCTGACTCCAGCCTGGGTACTCACCCAGGAGCCCTGTGGCCCCAGGAAAGAGCTGGACACTGGCCTAGAGGTGGCCGCAGCCCAGAGTACCCCTGGGGAGCAGGGCTACCCTCTGCATGGGAATGTCTGGCTTCTTCCTCGTCAGCTGGGGCCATGGCCCTGCCCGAGACCCTGGACTCCTGGGGAGTAGGAGGCAATAAAGGCCAGGGTCCATCCTGCTGACAGACCCTGGGAGTCTTGTCTTATACTCCTTCCATCCAAAGAAGGTTGCAGGCCAGAGCAGCCACAGGACCGCCTGGAATCCCTTAAGACCTCCAGGCCTGGCTTCAGGCCTCTCAGATCAGTAGCTCCACCCAGCCCTCCCACCCACCACCCTCACACACCCACCCATATATACACTTATGGGGTGGACCAAGGGCTCTGGCCCATGGAGGCCATCTCTCCCTGCCTAGCAAGGTCTCCTCCAGGCTGATGGGTGGGCAGTGGCTCCAGAGAGAAGGGGGCAGGCAATGTGGCCACTACACTATATCCAAAAGTCGGGTGCCCACAAGATGGTTTGCAAATGAGGATCTCTTTAGCCCTGGCTGTCAAGTTCTAAGCCATTTGGCCTCTGTGAAGATGGGTCTGCTGGCCATTGGTTATCACTAAGCACTTTTATGTGTTTGGAAGAATTTCTCAGGACATTTTTCTTCTTTCTTGCTTTTTAGAATTGCTCTGGAAAAAAAACTTTTTTTAATCTGAAATGTTAACAAATTAGCAGGAATTCTCTGGCAGCCCAGTAGTTAGGACTCCATGCTCTCACTGCCGAGGACCCGGGTTCAATTCGTGGTCCTTGGTCAGGGAACTAAGATCCCACAAGCCGTGAAGCATGGCCAAAAAAAATTAGAGCAGCACAAAGGTCGTCTATATTTCTTTCCACCTCTTTCCTTATGACTTCTTGCAACAGAAAAACAAGATGATATAGACCAGGAAAAAGGGCCAAAGCATGGGCCTTGGTCTCCCTGACTAGCAGCTGCCTCTGCCTGCACCCTTCTTGCCTGTATGCACATGCACAGATTCACCTAACAACTGAAAAAGAATCCACTGTTCATTCATTCGACAAGTATTTATTAAGATTTCCTATGAGCCAGGCACTCTTCCAGCACCTATTCATACAGCAGTGAACAAATTGAAGACCCCTGCCTTCCTTGAACTTATATTCTAGGTGGGGGATTAGATTCAGACTAGAAACATGAAACATAATCCGTTAAGTTATATCATTTGTTAAAAGATGATCAGTAGTATAGGGAGTAAAGATGGCGTGGTAAGGGCAATGAAGAACAAGGGTTGGGGAACTTCTCTGGCAGTCCAGTGGTTAAGATTCCACACTCCCAACGCAGGGGACACAGGTTCAATCCCTGGTCGTGGAACTAAGATCATGCATATTATTCAGTGGGGCCAAATAAAATAAAATTTAAAAGGTTAGGAGGTGGATCAGGTGGGCCTCACTGAGAAAGGGACGTTTGATCAGAGCTTGGAGAGAGGGAAGCCATGCAGATGTCTGCAGGGAACATTCCAGCTAGGAGGATCAGCCAGTGCAAAGCCCTGAGGCAGAATGTGCCTGGCATGGGAGAGGGGCAGCCAGGAAGCCGTGGAGACTAACGCCGAGTGAGGTGAAGGGGGGCTGAAGAGATGAGTGGTGGCTATGGAGGGGATGTCGTGGGACCTTGTCAGCCACCATAAGACTTCGGATTTTTCTCTGGAAAAGGTGAGAACCAAGGCCAGGTCATGAACAGAGGAGGGGGCAGGATCTGACTCAGTAGCAGCTCTAAGTTTTAAATGGATTATTCTGGCTGCTGCATTGAGACTAGACTCTGGGGTGAGGGACAGGGAGCAAAAGGGTGACGGGGACACAGGGCTATTACAGATGGTCCAGACGGGCATGTCAGGCGTCTCAGCCCAGCTAGGGGCACAGTTAGGGCGAGAAGCTGGGCATGTCCTGCAGGTAGAGGTGGCAGGGTTCCCCGATGGTTTGGGTATGTGTGTATGAGGGGAAGGGCAGAGACAAGTCCAGGGCGACTCCAAGCTTCTACTGTATGTGCTGAGGGAGGCTAGAACAGGAGTCTTGGGAGGGAGATCAGTTTTGCCCATGAAAAGTTTAAAACACTGACTGGACATCAAAGTGGAAATGCCATTTTTATGCTAAGGTGTGTGACTCAGGTTCAGTAGAGTGACCAGTATTGGGGCCTTGGATTTGGGAGGCAAAGAGAGTGGAAGCCAGGTACTTGAAGCCAGATACTTGGTACTTGAAGCCAGGGGTCTAGATGTGATGGGGAGGGACAGTTTGGGTTTGGAAGGAGGAGGGGAGCAGTACGGACTGAGCCCTGGAACATTTCTCTGTTGGGAGGTAGGAGAGATGAGGTGAAACTTGCATAGAACCTGGTGGGAGCAGCCAGGAGATGGGAGGAAACCCAGGAGAGTGTGGGCTCACGGGAGACAGACAAGCATCAGCTGCTCAAGGAGTTGAGGGTGGAGCACAGACCAGTGGGTCCAGCAACGTGTAGGTCACTAAGGACCTTGACCAGGGATTTTTTTGGGCAGGGAAAGGCAAGCCTGTCTGGAAAGGGCAGAGGAAGGAGAGGTAGGACCTGGAAATAACAATCATAGACAATTTGTATGAACTTAGAGAGGCAGGGCTGACAGAGACGTTTAAGGAAGTCTGGGAAGAAGCAGCAGTTATTGAGGGTATGAGATGGGAAGAAGCTGGCAGGGTGGTGGGTTGGAGGCAACAGAAGGACTTCTGGGCCAGAGCCCTGGAAGACAGCACATGGAGATCAGACAGTAGCATCAGGGGGCACTCAGCGTGGCCAAGCCAAGCGCTGCTAACAAGCAGCATCCTGGGTCCAAGATGGAGCCAGGGACTGGGAGGAAAAAACACATGTGCTTAGTCGTTCAGTTGTGTCTGACTTTTGCGACCACCAGGCTCTTGTAGCCCACCAGGTTCCTCTGTCTATGGAATTTTCCAGGCAAGAATACAGGAGCAGGTTTGCCATTTCCTACTCCAGGGGATCCTACTCCCGACCTATGTATGAAACTCATGTCTCTTGCATCTCCTGCATTGGCAGGTGGATTCTTTACCAGTGGGCCACCTGGGAAGCCCCCACAAGGAGCATATGGAGGGACCCAGAAGACTCACTCAGGTCTCAGCCTTGACTTCCTTTAAAGTCATCCAGCAACTAACTTTCAAACATCGTCGCTGTTGCTCAATCGCGTCTGACTCTTTGTGACCCCATGGACTATAGCCCACCAGTCTCCCCTGTCCATGGGATTCTTCAGGCAAGAATACTGGAGTGGTTTGCCCCTTTTTTTTTTTTAACCGTTGTGGAACAGTAATAAAAGACTGAATGCTACTTAGAAAGAAAACGTAGCCCTGGGAAATATCGGAAAGAACAGAACTGCTTTCAAAACCATACAAGGCTGCAAACCTGCCCTGCCACGCGCAGCCAGACCTGGGACTGGATTAAGTTGAACCCCGCACACCCATCCACTCCCGACCCAGCCTGTCCATACAAGGCGGCCTCTGCTGCCCCCTGGCGGTCGACGGTCAGAGTCTGGGCTGTGCGGCGACTCAGCCCATACATTACAGAACCTGGTGGTGGGGATGCTCAGCTGCTTGTGCAGGGAGCCCTGAGGTTCCAAGGCTGTCCAAGAAAAAATCCTGGCTGGCGCATGGGAGGGGCGCAAGCAAGAAGGCTTCGGGCAGGCCAAGGGAGGGGTGGGGGCTTCATTCATTCAACGCTGGGCATCTTGAGCGAGTGAGTAGCTGCCACTCTCACGCTTGGCCAGGTCTTTAGGGAACCAGGCCTTGGTCCCTTCCTCCATGAGTTGCCAGACCTTGGAGGGGTTCCTCGCGCAGAGGAAGGGGCTGGAGTCCCAGACTCACACTTAACTGTGCGTTCTGAGAGCCCCACGAAACATCACCCTGTTCGTCTCTTTATCCTGTCCACATCTCTCCTGGGGTCAAGCTCATCAAGGCACCCGGAGCCCCCAAATCGCACCCGCCCGCGGCCCCCGGCTTAGTTTACGATATGGGCACTCAGCCACCCCAGCCGTGGGGAGCAGGGACATGCCCACCAGGATAATCAACCAAAATCAGCGTCTAATCTTTGCTCTGAATTTGGAGGATGGAGGTTAGAGAGCATTCTAGAACTCAGGGGATGAAGATGCCGGGACCAGAAGAATCAAGGCACACGTGTCGTGGCACATTCTGTGGCTGGGAGACTAAGGCTGGAGGCAGGCGGGGAGGGCTGGGGTCAGAGCGAGGTGAGGGCCTTGCGGCGCCACGGACCGCTCTGAGCAAGAGGACGCCGAGCGGCTGCTGCCCTATGGAGGGAGAGCCTTGCTGGCCATCGAGTGGGCAGATAGACGGAGGCAGGGGTTCAGGGCTGGAGGCAGAACAAAACTGGAAAGCAGGACTGATGCTGGCGCGAGCGGCAGTCAGAAGACTAGAGGACCGCTGGAAGGTGGGGGCCCTAGGCCAGCCTCGGCTCCCGCGTTGCGCTAGAGAACCGCTAGAGGGCGCTGCTGTCCCGCGAAGCCGTGCTTGGTCTCTGGCGCCGCCCAAATCCCGCACTCCCGCCTCGAGAAGCCCCGGAAGGGGCGGGGCGGCGCGCTCCGGGGCCGTTTCCGGCTTCAGTTCACACCGGAGGCGGGGAAGTGGGGGGGCTGAGGCGGGAGTTAGGGGTGCGCAGGGACTTCAGGGGGGTTTGTGTTCCGAAACTTGGGGAAGGTTGTCAATAAGAGGGAGAGGGAAGTGTGCGAGGAAGCCGTGGTGGGCCGAGGGCAGGCAGTGTTGCGGGATCGGCGTGGGAAACAGTGTCAGGAGGCCAAAGCGGAGGGACGATCCTGGTCTGTAAGGCTGCACCCTTGGTAGCTCTTGGCCCCCACACCTAAGCCTCCAGCCTTTTCCCTTGTGAAATACAATCCTGGAGCTCCTGGGAGGCTTAGCGCTGCCCAAGACCTGAGGGCAGGGCAAGGAAGGCTTTCCAGCAGTGGAGTAAAAAGGTGCTCAGAGCTGGGGAAGCCGCTAGAGGCGGCTGGGGACGCCTTTCAGCAGATTTTCTTTAAATGTTGGAGCAATGTCCGTTTGGAGAAGAGGCCAAGTCTGTGGAGAGGACTAAAAGGGGACTAGTCAGCCCAAACCTGCTGGAGGAAACTAGCTCAGCCCAGTTATATGTGCCCTGCCCCCCACACGTCCCCAGCTACCCTCTCCTAGAGGATGTGGGACAACCCTGTCTCCATAGGTTTCACTGCATCTCCCTCATCTCCTGCACCACATGGTGGCCACCCCATGCCTTCTTTCCCACTTTCTTATTCACAGCAGCCAGAAAGAACTTTATTTTTAAAAATAATTTTATTTGTTGTCTGTGCTGGGTCTTCCTTGCTGCATGGGCTTTCTCTAGGTGCAGTGTGCCAGCTTCTCAGTGAGGTGGCTTCTCTTGTTGTAGAGCACAGGCTCAGTAGTCGTGGCTCATGGGCTTAGTTGTCCTGCGGCATGTGGGATCTTCCTGGACGGAGAATCAAACCTGTGTCCCCTGCATTGGCAGGCAGATTCTTTACCACTGAGCCACCAGGGAAGACCCCCATGGGGAACTTTAAGATAGCAGATCATGTCACCTATTCTCAAAAATCCTCCAGTTGTTTTTTGGGTTTTTTTGTTTGTTTGATTTTTAGGCTTGCACTGCTTGTGGGATCTTAGTTCCCTGACCAGGAATTGAACCTGGGCCCCAGCAGTGAAAGTACTACGTCCTAACCACTGGACAACCAGGGAATTCCCTAAAAACCTCCTATTGTTTCCATCACATTTGGAATGAAATTTGGACGTCTTCCTGCCCTGTGGCTCTGATACCCTGACCTGTCCTTACTCTCTGCTGGCACTAGCCCACAGCTGGGCCTATGGTGGCCCAGAGCATCTCAGAAGTTTTTCCCCAACAGCCTGTCGCCATCCCCAAACAGGCTTATTCCTCTAACTTTGTCTAGGTGGCTTCAGTAGCAGCATTTGCTCTCTGCAGTTCTGCAGAGCAATGTCCCATGCTCTCAGGGCCCAGTGACTAGCATCTCTCCCAGGACGGGTCCTGTTCTCTTCCCCCGCTACTGCTGGTCACCATCTACAAGAAGCGCCTAAAAAAAAAAAAACCAAAACCAAAAAAAAAAAAAAAAGCGCCTGAGCCTTGGTGGCTCGGCTTTGGAGGCACCTCATGGGCTGCTTGCTGTTGCATCACCTTCATTAGGGCTGTTTTTGATCCTTCATTAAATTAAATTCCAGGAAGTGGTGCTAATGAAGGCCCTAACGAGTCGCAGGAGAAGCTTCCAGCTCCCGCCTTTGGACAGCACTGACAGGGAAGGCAAGGCAACAAGGTGAGCAGAGGAGTGGCTCCTGGGGATAAGGCTGATTATCATTTCCCAGGCCCTCTTAAGGATCCTGGGTTTCCCAGGGGAGGTGGCCTTTAGAGGCCGCGTAGGTGGCAGACACGGGCAAGTTGGACAAGAGCTCTTCAAGGACATGGAGGGGGTCTCAACTCAGTCCTGGACCCAGAGCCTTGAAGGCTCCCTGAATCCCCTGGACAGTTCTCCCCCAGCTCTTCAAGGACATGGAGGGGGTCTCAACTCAGTCCTGGACCCAGAGCCTTGAAGGCTCCCTGGATCCCCTGGACAGTTCTCCCCCAGTCATATCAGCAGCACCCTGTGAGTGCCAAGATAAGTCGGATTTTCAGGGCCAGGCATGAGTCACTGGCTTGGAGATGCTGGGATCTGCTGCAGCCTACCTCAGTCCTGCCTCAGCATCTCTTAGGCACTTGGGAACCCACTGCCTGCTCTTCACCTCACTGATGCCTCATAGATGTCCTCTCTCACACCACAGACCCTCTTACTCTGGCAAGGCTGGCCTTTTGGTTCCAGGAACACCCAGGCCCTTCCTGCCCTGCCCCAGTGTCTTTGCTGTCGCTTCCCCCTGTTCATCACCCTCTTCTCTTAGCTTGTCACATGCTTGGTCCCTTCTCCTCATTCAGAGTTCCCCTGCTTGGGAACAAGTCACTGTTCCTCATACATACACTTCCCAGGGGCTCCGTGTCACCCTGTTGAGTTCCTCCGAAACCCTGGACTTCATTTCCCTGTTGTCATGTTTGGCATGTGCTCCTGAAGGGCAGGCTTCCAGCTGCCTCCCTCACCCTCAGGTTCTCAGCGCACAGTCGTTGAACGAATGACTCCTCCTCTGAGAGCCTCCTGCCTCTGTATCAGGTGGAACCTCCTAGCCTATCAGGCAACTTTTTGGCATGGATTGCTGGCAGCCTGAGTTCTCCAGGTGCCAAAGCCAGTGGAAGGAGGGGGACCCTGACCCCAAGGCCTGCCAGGCTTGGGATTGTTTCTCTAGGGGGAGGGAAGAGAAGCCTGGGAATGGAGGTTTGGAAGAAAGTCACAGAGAGGATGAGGTGGCTGACTCCAATCTCAGAAGTGCTGCTGGGCTCAGAAGCAGGAAAGAGGAAGTGCCGGGGGTGTACCAGGAGGTGGAGCCTGGCTAAGGGTTGCAGGGAGGGAACCAGCCCCGGCCACTGAGATCTACAGGCAGAAGTTCGCTGAGACTCTTTTATCTGTAAAGCTGTGATTTAATGGTACAGAGTCTTGCTGGCGACTCCCTGCCATCTGTGAGCCATGGAGGTGGGGTGGCCAGAATCCTGGACTTGGCGTCCCTGTGGGGCCTTGGCTGTTCCTGGACTCTGGGCGGGGGCAGACATGCCTACCCCGAAACTGCCTTTGGGGAAGTGCTGGCAGCTTCCCCTTCCTGGAGCCCGTGGGCTGGTATGTCACGGCCCACTAAGGGGGTCTCCATTCCTCACCCTGTTCAGCCTGGTGCATGACAGGAACTCAGGACAGAAGAGCTGCTCTGTGGCCTGTGGCGAGCCCCAAGGCTGTCCTAGCTCTCCAAGGGAGCCCAGTAGCAGGCCCTTCATTATAGCTGGGGCGCTATCCTCATTTCTGCTGAATGTCATTTCACTGTCCCTTACAGTCTAGTTCATGGGGTGCTGGAGCAACGTGCAGTGCAGAGACAGGTCATGGCTCCTCTGGTGCCTAGGAGGCCCTGGCTGGGCAACCATCCTCTGCTGCCAGAACAGTGTCTCATGAAAGGATAAAAGAACTCCTGGGTTCCCAAGTGTGAAGGAAGCAGCATGCCTGTATGTCCCTCACTGGACGACCATGGATGGGTCCTGAACCCTCTGGGTCTCAGTGACCTCAGCTGCAAACCCAGATGTTTCTCTAGCTCTGACCCTGGATTTTCTCCCCACCTCTTCCCGAACCCCCTTCCCAGTCCCTGTTCCCTCTTCCTTCAGTGATCTACCTCTAACACTGTACACACCACCTCCACCAAGAAAGCTTCCCAACCTTCGCATGTACCTTGAATTTCTCCCTGCTCTCCACAAACAGCTATGGCATATTTTTTTTAATAGCAACAGCAGGATTAATTGTTAACACTTCTCCCCAATCCAGGGTGGGGGAACCCCTGGAAAGGGTGAATTAAAGTTTATGTGATTCATTCATTTCATTTAACAAAGATTTACCTACCAGCCTCAAGGATTAAGCTGTGAGGGGTCTGGAATCAGAGATCTGAGTGGGGGGAGAGACTCACCACCAGGCCTGTTAGGATCTGTTGGGGGAGGGGAAGCCCCAGGACAATAGGAGTCAGAGATGCCCAGTTTACAGCCAGGGAATGAAAGCTAGGGAGGAGGGAAATGGAGGAAGTGATAAAGGAGAACATGCAAGAGGGTGGGGAGAGCGAGGCAAGTCAGATGGCTGGAGTGCTAGGGTGTCACAGAGAGGGAGATGATGTGGGCCTTGGTGGGGGACAGCCCCTACAGGGCCTGGCAGAAATTACTATTATAGCAAGTCACCCGTACTGAGGGCGTTCCATGTACCATGCACATTCTGAACATTTACTTACATTTCCTCCCTTAGCCCTGATCTCTGCCAGTACATTGGGTAGCTATGACTGTTAGGTCCACTTTACTGATAAAAAGACTTGAGACCCAAGGAGTTTCTGGTACTTGTCCAAAGTAATACGCAGCCAGGCAGTTTGCAGACTGCTCTTCGGAGAGTCCTTGCTGTCAGCCACCACTGTTGCACTTGTGCCCCTGCACGGTCCAAAGCAATGTGTGTGGGCTTTATTCTCAGGGTACTGGGGAGCCACAGAAGGTTTGTGTGCAAGACAGTGATGTGGCTTCTTTGAGTAGGATTCCCTTGACTGCAATGTAGAAGAGGTATTGTAGAGGAAACTGGAGAGCCAGGGAGAAGGCTGGAGGCCTAGAATAAGGGACAGTGGGGCCATATTTGAGTGGGAGTTCAGGAGGTAAGGAAGGGAAGAAACTGACAGGGTGTAGGGATGCAGAGGAAGGATGATGGCTCTGGCTGGTCACAAGGCCACCAGGTGGAAAGCCCAGGAATAGGGATTATTGGGGGTACTTGAAATGACTGGGCTTCAGAGCAGGGATGAACATGGGGCTGGTGATTCAGGGAGAAGCTGGGCTGGAGATGGTCCTGTGGGGTTTTGAGCCCCAGAAGTGGTATGTGACAGGAGGAGCAAACAGAGGCTTCTTTCCAGTAGCCCTGGGGCCCCCATGGAGACAGGGAGGGAGCAGCCAGGAGCACTGGATGCAGGGGTCACTGGACTCTAGGAAGAGCACTTGAAAGGAGGGACTAACTGGTACAGATACCACAAGAACTGGCTTGGGGCCGAGGGGCCATGCCTCCCGGTGGCCCTGCCCTGCCTGGCCCCATTGATTGGGGTCTGTGTCTGCCCACCTCTGGCGAGCCTGGCCTCTGAGGGGCTGACAGGTTCTCCTGTTGCCTGGCAACTGCAAGAGCTGTTGGCTGTTGCTAGGAGCAGGCTGGGGAGGCCTGAGGAGGGAGGATCAGCTCTCAAGTGAGGGGCGGGGCTGTCGAGGGAAGAGGCCCGCCTTGGAGCTGGGTTTGTAGCCTTTTTGGACAGGCTGTGTTCTCGACTGTGTGCACCCATGTTTACAAAGTGTTCTGTGGATTTGAAGCATTTTGGAGGTTGAGCCTGTGTGTGGATGTATAGAGCATATCTCAGAATGTCTGTCCCTGGGTGGGTATTGTGTGTTTTCAACAGGTTCGCTGCGGGCTTGTAGCAGGCCCTGCCTGCGCTTTGATGCCAGGCAGGACAGAGTCCTGGGGGAACCATTTGAGGATTTACAGGCCAATGCCTCCTCAACAGGGGAGCCATTCAAATAGGGACACACAGACATTCCAGGGAGAGTAGACAGCTTGAGAACTGGGAGCGGAAACAAGATGTGTGTCAAGGTGGTAAGGAGGGAGTCTGTGCTGAACGGGACTGTGGGTGGCCAAGCATTGCTGGCCAGCTCGCTTCCTGGCTTCGGGGACTTTCCTTGTCTTTGGACTGAGTGAGCCCTCCCCCAGCTCAAGGCACACAGGACACCTTTCTGGGTAACCCTTGGCAGACTTTTTAACTGTCCAATAGAGGTTGGGGCTGTGGGCTTCTTATGGAGAAGAGAATCAGAAAGACTGAAATGTCCCGCTATAAATGCTGCTGCCTACCCGCTCCCCCCCCCCCTCCACCTTTGTCCAGCCATGGGGTTGCAGCCACTGTTCAGTGATGACAGGCCATAAGATCATGGCCACTTATGTTTCCCGAAGTCTGGTGGCACCTCTTTCTCTTCCTGGGTCATGGTTGCTGGGTCCCAGGTTGGAGCCCAGAATGGCTCCCTGTTGAATGGCTCCCTCCTAGAAGATCAGAGAAAGAGAACTCTTGGATGATTAGAGAAGGTATCCCCAACTGAGGGAGACAGCCTGGGCAAAGGCATGGAGGTGGCAATAGAATTTTTTCTTTTTTAACTTCAAATGTGAGAGAGAAGGGGTCAAAACCGCTTTAAGACGAAAGAAGCAGTCCAGAGAGCCTCCGGGGCTCTGTGGATCCCGAGACAAGTTTATTGGGTTTATTATTTTTAAGACACGCCTTTTCTGCTCTGCTCGCTCAACTCAGAGGACTGGTTCCTGCTCGGCCTCTGAGGTGCACCGGATCCCGGTCCTCAGGCTACGAGATCTGCCCGCCCCCGCCGTCGAGCAACGGGGCTCCAGGCGCTCTGCACCCAATCGGAGCCCGGCCCCGCCTGCAGCCCGCCCTCCGCCCAGTCCTTCTGGGCTAGGCTCAACCCCTGCAGCTCTCTCGGCGTGGCTCCGCCTCCAACCCGGGCCGAGCTTGGGCTGAGCCTAACTTCGCCTTCGTTCCGCCCTCGAGCCAATCAGCGGCCCCATATCTCCTATGGCCCCGCCTTCGGCCCTGCCCCAGCCCAGTCCCAGGCCTGACTCTCTCCGGCCCCACCCCCGGCCCGCCCTGCCGTCGGTGCGCGGCTGCCTGGAAGGCACCGCCCGCAGACGCTCGGAACTGCCGACTCGGGAGCTACCCGTTGAGGGCCGGCGGCGTGAGCGGAGTGGGGTCGGGCGGGGCCGAGCCGGGCCTGGGCCTTGTGGGGGCCGGGCAGCGGCCGGGCCGGCGGACGGCGGGATGGGCTGCACCGTGAGCGCCGAGGACAAGGCGGCGGCCGAGCGCTCCAAGATGATCGACAAGAACCTGCGGGAAGACGGCGAGAAGGCGGCGCGGGAGGTGAAGTTGCTGCTCTTGGGTGAGGCCGCGCCCTGCGCTGGGATCCCCCGATTCCCTGCCCAAATCCCCAACTTTGACCTGTGGACTAGGGCTTCGAGCTCCCAGACTCGGTCTGGATCCCCACACCTGGACTTGAACCCCCCAGACCCGCCCGGCGAAGACATAACCAAAAAAATGGATCAAAACTCTGGGTTGACCGAGACCTCTGATCCGTAGCCCATAGGCCCCATCTTCAACTCATCCCAGAGCCCAAACCCCCAAATACAGCCACCAGTGCCCCAACACCCACTGCCCAGGACTCTGCTTGACCATACACTCTTACTGTCCAGCCTGACAGACCCTCAGAGCCCCCTGCCTGTCTTTCCATACTTCCCCTAGACTTTACCCAACCCCCTACCATCCCACTCAGCCCCCACCTTCAGGCACCACCTGTTCCCTCACTTCTCCCCCTATTCCTACTGGGCCTGAGTATCTCCAGGGCCCCTCCCAGGCCCCCACTCCCTCCCTCCTTCCCATTCTGTGCCCCATCCCTACTCTGGACCCTGTATCCTCCACCTGTGCACCTTGATCCCAAGGGACTTCTCAGGTGGAATTTTGGTTTGCACCTCTCAAGTGGAATGACTGCTTAGGAGACCACCTTCCAGCCAGACCCCCCAAACCCTTAGAGACCCCTGCTCCCTGCATCTGGCCCACCAGCTCCCTCTTTGCATGCATCTCTCCTCCAACCCTGTGCTCCCCTGCTCTTAATTCTCTCCCACACTCTAGCCTTCTCCAGATTTCCCCACCCGCCTCCTGCACCAGGTGGGCCGGCCTGAAAGGACTGGCCTCAGACCCCCAAGGGCTCCACTGGTCCTGTTGGGGGAGGGGACCAGGCCTCAGGCTGCCCAGGGAGTTCTGCTGGCTATCCGTTTCCCCGTTTCTAAGCCCTGTCTGGGCCAGTGAGGGGGGGATCTGGGGTTAGGAGGGAGTGTGGAGGAGTTTGGGTTGCGTCGGCTTCAAGGCCAGGAAAGATGGTGGCTGCTTGAGGGGTGGGGGGAAGTGGAAGTGGTGAGACAGCCGACATATTACTGCCCCCGGCGGGCGGGCGGGCCAAGGAGAGCCGGTGATGGGTGCTGGGCTTCCCGCACCCTTTCTGGGCCCAAAGGCCTAGGACGTGGCTTCTGAGAGTGGGTGGGCCTGTCGGACCTTGAGGCCCTGCGAGGGGGGGAGTGGTGGACCAGCTGGTTGAATAGTGGGGGGCCTGCTATGGGGTGGGCATCTGAAGTGGACTTGTGCAGAGGCTGGGGGCCTGGTAGTTGCCCCAGTCCAGCCTCTCACTGGGAGCAGGTGTGGTGCGCCCAGTGGCAGCCTGATTGGGGGGTGGGGTGGAGTTCAAACCTAGTGGGGAAGGAGGCCCTCGCGGCAGTGTTAGGGGCTGGACCATGTATGTGGGGGGGTGTGGCCCCTCAGCCCCAGAGCTGCCCTGGGGTCCCCAGGCTGTGAAAAGTGGAGCTTTTCATGGTGAGCGTGTGGCCTAGGGGACGGTGTGTCTTCCATCCCGGGCCCATCTGTTGACTGTCCCTGGGGGCCTGGCCTCAGGGGCACAGCCCCGGAGGTTTCAAAATGGCATCCGCTGCCGCTGCGGGGAGGAAGAGAAGGGGCGGGAAGGGGCGGCGGCCCAGCCTCCTGGGCTGTTTTGCGTTGGGCGCTTGCCTCTTCCTGTCTTTGCTGCGAGTGCGGCAGCGGCAGCGAGTGGGTGTCGACGCGGCGGAATGCCCATCGATGCTGCCCACTGGGCCTGGGAAGGGTGCTTCGGGTACTGCTGCCTCCCAGTGCCCAGCCAGGGGGTCACTAGCCAGCCCTTTCCCAAGCTGATCACAGTTATGGTGGTGCCCGAAGAGGTGTGGGACTGGGCCATGGGCCTGGGGCACACAGGGCCCCTGGCCTGGTTCTGTATGCTGACCCCATCCCACCAGTCTTGGAACCCGGTTCAGGTTTGGGCCTGGCGACCCTTCTCATACTGAGCTGGCAGTAACCAGGGGTACAGGGTCCCCTAGAAATGCTTGGCACTTTGTAGGCTGGGGAGTCCATCTCAGCATCCTGTCCTTCTGGCCTTTGCTTCCACTGTGAAATGGGCTTCCTGGGTTTGGGCCAGAGAAGTGCCCTGCCCAGGATGGGGAGTGGGGGCTAAGACTGTGCAGAGGATGCACTCACTGTAAGGGGCTGGGAGGCCAAACTTTGCCTGAAATTGAGGACTCAGTCTGTCCGGACTGCCCGGAGAAGGGTCCTGGCTGGCCGTCCTTTGCCTGTCCAGTTACGGGGGAGGTGATGGGAGCCCAGCTGAGGCAGCTTCAGAGAGCTGGGCGCCTGTCCCACGTAGCGGAAAGACTGTCCAGGCAACGGGACTTAGGCTGGGCAATTGCCAGCCTCCCCTCCCAGCCCAACCACGCCTGCTGCTCCACCCGCATACTGGCTCCTTCCCGTCCTGGGGAGCCCTGCCAGCCGGCGGGCATAGTCACTGTCCCTGGGGCAAAGGCAGATGTGGTACACACCGGGGAGAGGGGTGTTCCCTGGCAGCTGGGTTGGGGGAGCAGAGCTGCTGATACCGGCTCTACTTCAGAGATATCCCCACCCCCACCCAGTTCAGCTTGATTGACCTGCTGTCCCCTGGTAGAATCTGGGGCCTTGGCGTGGGCACTTTGGGTAAAGTAAGCCAGAGTGTGTGTTTAGGGGGTGACTCTGATTTGTTTGGGCTTGTGTGGGCAGTCTACAGAGAAAGGAGAGATGGCTCCAGGAAGGCTTCATGGTATAAATACAACAGTTCCCTCTTGCCCCTGGGACTTTGCATCTGTTACCTTCACTTGATGTACTTTCCCCACATTTCACTCCTACTTGATTGTTCTTCAAGACTCTGCCCAGGGGTGACCTCCCAGGATCTTTCCTGACCCCCTTCTCGAAGGCTGGTAAAGCATTTTGTCGGTGTCACAGCTGCCCTCCCCCGTGGCTGGAGCAGGACCGTGTCCTGTTCATTTCTGAGCCTTCTATGCCAAGCATGGAGCCTGGGAATTATTGTCTGTTTGTTGAATGAAAGAAGCGCTACTGGTGTGAACTTGGTCTTGGACATGGGTAGATGGAGGAGTAAGATAGCGATCAGTGAGCCATCGCCTGCCATATGGGCAGGTGGCAAGGACTGTGTAAGGCCAATGGCCAGGACTCAAGGGGAGACTGAGGGGAAAATCCTTCAGGCTGTTTGCTTGTGGTCTCATCACGCTCTGCTGGCGCCTCAGTGCATGCTCACTTAGTCCTGTCCGACTCTGCGAGTCCATGGGCTGCGGGCCACCAGTTCCCTCTGTCCATGGAATTCTCTAAGCAAGAATACCATTCCCTTCTCCAGGGGATCTTCCCAACCCAAGGATCCAACTCAGGTCTCCTGCTTCTGAGGCAGATCCTTTGCCATCTGAGCCAGGCTCCGGAGACAGCCCTTATCCACTCCCTGCAGATCACATAGTAGGGACTCTAGGTGTTCATATGGGAAAACCAGCTTTGCATTCTTCCTTTTAGCTTAGGCTATTTGGGGACTGTTGCAGGCCTGCTCTCTCTGCTGCTGCAGTGGAGCCTGTGTAGCTCTTAGGGCTGGAGCTGCCCCCCAGCCATGGGGCTCAGACCAGAACAGTGCTATGGGTTCTTGGCCTGGCCAGTGCGGAGACTGGACATTGAGGGGCTCAGAGCATTTTATCAAATGAAAGGAAGGGAGTTTTGTGACGTTAGTCCTGTTTGTCTCTCACAAGGGGCCTGGCACACTGTAGGTGCCTATTAGGTGTGGAAAGAATGAAACTCTTTGCACACATCCCTGAACAGGGATAAGTAATTCTCAAGCTGCTGCCTGGGGCTTGGTGTAGCAGGAGTTAGTGGGAAGGGCTAGCCTGGGATCCTGGCTGGCTGGGTAATACGTAGAGTCTACTGATGCGGTGAATTTCGAGGATGGGGGGAATAGTCCTTCCTGGGAAGGGGTCCTCTGAGTTGGCCTTGAAAGATTAGCAGTATTTGCCAGGGTCAGGCACTGGGGGCAGAGGGACCCACTCAGCATGGGTTCTAAAGTGGGAAGGCCTGGCCTGGGGGAGGAGGCCTCACCCTCCTGAGGGGATCACACACACCTAGGTTCAGATCCCTGCTCCACCTGGTGCACCAGCTGAGAAACCCAGAGACAGGTGACATCCTGCTAGATGCTCTGCTCGCCGTGCCTGCCTGCAGCCACACGTGTTGCGGGGATGGTACTCCCAAGACCTGTGGGTGTGAGAACAGGAGAGGGACTGCGCCCCCCCCCGCCGCTGACTCCTGCAGAGCTGAGAGTTTGATGGGGAGGAATCTCCCCAGCTCAGAGGTTGCCTAGCCTTAGTATGGAGGCCCTGGGAACCCTGACCCTTGCCCTTGGGCCGCTGCTCACAGCAAGTTAGAGGTTGAGACTTGTAGATATTTGGTGGCATATGGAGTGACACACTGCCCTGGGGACCTTACGCCCAGTCTTTGGGGGCTGAGCCACCTTCCCGGGGGCGCTTAGGGTTGGGGGTGTGGCAGGGCCCTGGGGTACCAAGTGGGCTGGTACCCAGGCTGGCCTCCAGCCTCCCTGTTCTCCCCACCACCTTCTCCATCCCACCGTCCCGCTATTCCGCCATCCGGCTGGAGCTCATTAGCACTTGAATGGGGGGCGGGGCAGCTTGAGTGAGTCT